TCAATGTTTTAATTATTCTTAATAGAAAGTTTCATTTCATTTTGTACAAACCAACAGCCTGTGGGCAAAAAGGTGACTGAAAAATTAAGCTTTTGTTTATGTCTGTGCAGCCCCTTCTCAGATAAAGATTAAATACGTGTGCAAAGGCAAACACAGATGGAACACAGCATGAGTTTGGTTTATGCAAGGTTCACCTGAGTCTTTCAAAGTCTTGATTTCCACACATATTATTCACATAAAGCAGTCCACTGACAGTGTGCTTTGCATTTGTTTTTCAGAGAGCCCTTGATCACCTGACCTATAGTGTTAAGAGTATCAGCAGTGATGCAGGGTGGGGTTTTTCTGTCCCCTACAGTGCTGGGCTAATGCAGATTCCAGAGCACAGCTCCACCCATTTCCCCTGTCTCTTCAGAGTTCACTTTTGTCCTGCAAATCACTCCCTGTATCCTTTGAATAACATGGCAGACTGAGGCCCCTGTGAAGGCCACTCCTCTTCAAGCCTATAAAACAGTGCACCATAGAAACAGTATCTCTTGGTTTTGCATAAGTAGGTATAGGTTTATTTCTGTGCTTTTGCAAAACCAATCAGTGCTTTGATGCTTTGACCAGGTATTCACATCTTCTGTAAATCATTAACCACAGAGCGTATATGTATGTTCTGTAGTCTGTCAGTGTTGTGCAGGAAAGAAGAATTTGCAGTTGAGCTAATGCCATAAGTTAATTGTAACATGCTGCACACAGAGTTGTTCACAAAGAGGCAGATATTTCCAAACCTTTTAGTCTCCCAGTCAGTCAGTGATGGGGGAAAATGTTCCCATAACATCCTATTTATAGTCTGCTTTCAGTGCACATTGCCGTCTGAATATAGTTAGTCTGGAAGTAATTTCATGTATTTATTCACCAAAATGTTTTAGCTAGCAACACACTGACTGAATCAAGAACGTTCCAGAAGTTTAATCTCTCCATTATGTTTCACTGTAGTTTCCTTCCTCATAAAATCAAATAATGCCATTCAAGGACAAACCAAAATTCATCACTAAAGCAGAGATTGCATTATGATACAGCTGCCTGACATGCTCTATAAACAGCGTCCGATTTTAAACGTAACTGTTGTGGTACATACAGTATGTAAAAGGCAGGATGTGTGGATCGTCTGCACGATAATCATTTCACTTGCAGCCAAACAGTATAATGGTGATCAGGGTGTGAACTTCTCAGGAAGAGGTAGGCTGTACATGACATGTCCTGCATAATGAGGGTCCTGCATCAATAAGTGGAGAATGTGCCCCATCCTGGCTTCTGTGTGTTGTTCTGGAAAAAGTTTTTCTTTTACGCTCAAACATTTACAGTTTAGAGTCCTATTCAAAGTAGCCTTGACACGATGGTTTCTCAGTAATTTATAATCAGAGTTATTTAATGAAGTGAAGCCTGAACACAGAGTCCACATTGCCATTGTAAGCATGGTCTGTAATTGTTGCTGTGTGTTTGTTTGTTCTGTCTTGTTCCTGTTATGTTGTTTGTTACATGTACAGGACCACTTTGGAAATATTCCTTTAGACTTGTGTTGTTTTATCCCTGGATGATTGTAACAACTTTTAACAAGTAGGTTTAAATCATGAAATAAATGCATGCATTCATTACATGGCAGGGATAAGAGGTGTTGTGTACTGCAATGAATGCCTCAGTATTCATTACACTGACCCCTTGTTGGATCCCTCTCACCCCCCACCTTTCTAATAGTGTCAACAGTGTTTGTCAGTTTTTAAAAATGTTTTCCCAGTTTAGTCAGTCATGCCCACTTCATGCTGCAATTGGACAGGTGTCAGAAAGTAAGCAGGATTTGAGCTTCTCTCGCAAACTCACTTTTTTCATTCTTCACAGAACTGCTTCCATCACAACTACAGTATACAAATGGAAACATTAGGACATACTGAGTGTGGGCTGTTATCCCCACCTGAACAACTGCCCCTCACTATTCCCCCCCTTACAATAAGCCATTGTAGGCATCTTGGGTGGATCCAATATATTCAAAAAATGTGCAAATGGCCTTGTTTACACTTGACACTTCAAGTGTCTGAATGATAACTGCTAGCTGTTATCGCTGGAACTGCACTGCAGTTATTCATTTTTCTTAACAGCTTCAGATTCAGTGATTTTGATGATTTGCATGTAACCTGTTAAAAACCAAGATGGACTGCAATCAGATTTCTGATGTCGCTAATGGAGATGCCTAAACAGACGGGTGACAAATTAAAGGAAAAACCTGTGCTGGAACCAGTTCTTGCTACCATGCTAACTCTAAGAGACGAGACAGTCCAAGTAACTTCAACACAGTGCTGATTTATTCAAAGGATCACAGGTAAAATGAACATTACACGCTCAGGTATCTTGCACCTCCAACATGCACGCAGGCAGTTGTAAGATGAAAGACCCTGAACCCACCAGGCCTATACATTTTTATCACTTCGGTTGGCCTAGCCCCATACTACACAGAAACGTCAACCGGGACGTCTCTCTCACCAGCTTTGCAGCTGGCTCTAGCAATAGTCAAAACATGAAGCAAATCAATGTGTGTGTGTATGTCTGTTGGTTAAGTCTAATACATGTCGTGACTTGAACATAGGAACATTATGGCTAAGTCTACAGTTATACACATCGTAATAATAATATTGAACACCCTGTCTGCTGACAGTCATCAACACTTCTCTCTAGTTATCCTTGACCAGATGTACCCTGCAGCCACTCATATGCATGCCTAAGCATTTATCAGTCTAACTAGACATCCTCTCTCCACTAACATTTCTAATACATAAAGTATCTATCCAATATCTATCTGACTAAAAATATCTAACACCTGAATAAAGACACTTGCTTTTTACTTTGTCACTTGTCTGTATGTGATGCAGTGTAAATAAAAAGCCTATTGAAAGGCATCTGGATATAAGTCACTTAAATAGTGAGGCCTCTGATGGGAGGCGTTTCTCTTAGTCTTAAAATGTGGCAGTTCAAAACAGGTATAAAGATCTTAGGCTTTAGACGAGAGACACATTCTATGAGCTTATTCTTCTCAACCTCTGTTTTCAACAACCTAACACCACCCACTAGTGACGTCAAGTTTTGGATCTGGTTTTCCAAAGCAAACATAAATTGGTTGACAAAAAATGAAACAGGAGTCTCTGTCACATTGTCACTTGAATCCTTTCTGCTTTATGGAGCCTTACAGTGTACGTGACAGCTGTTTAGCTGTCTGGCTGCAATTCTCAGTGCTCCTGTAGCGCATTTGACTGTCACCAGGCAGCTGTTTTCAAAAGAGCCAACTGTACACTACCTGCTCAGCGCCAAACAACTGACTGACACAATTAGAATAAAAGAGTTTAATTAGTTGGATGAAGATTGGACTTATACTCATCTGGCAGACAGAAACACAGTTCCAAAAAAATGAAAATGTTGCTCTGTGTCTGTTGGATGAGTGAAAATGCAACTGTTTGTTAACAAGTTCACCAAATCAACTTAAACGGTGACAACAACTTGTTTTCATTGCTCTCAAATAGCCAAAAAGGTCAGTTACTGCAAGTTTAACTCAAGGTCAACTTAACTTTTCTTTGTTAAATTACTGTTTAACACCAAAGCCATGAGTCTCGAGCCTGTTTCTCCCTGGTGTCCACATACATGAGGTCTGACTCCCTGAGGCCTCTGCAGCTATTTCAAAACCATGTCTGTATCTGATGTTTTTTTCTAGACATCACACTGGGGTTCCACAAATCTCACCCATGCATGTTGTGGCCCACTCAGTGTTTTGTTGCGAGGTAAGCTTGATCTTGTTATACACATGCAAATCCGGGTTTGTTAACTACACCATGGCAACCCCTCTGTGATCTTATTATCCTCCACTGTGTCATCTGTGCAACTTCAGACAAAACTGCAGTTAACCCTGGGGAGCCATGTTGTCACAGCCAAGACTACTTTTATATATGGAAAATAAAGCAGCTGGCCCACAGAATAGTGAGTAAATAAAAAATGTACGCCTACAAGCAAGTAGTGACATATCCTTCTACTGACCTGGCCCTGATCACTCTGAATGTCAGTCCTCTCTATTGTTTACCCCGTCACTCATCTCTAGCTGAAAGCAAGCCCACTCCCCTGGCAGTGTGATGAGAGCCAGTATGTTTATCACAGCATCAACCAGCACTTCACTGCAGGCCCTGGCAGATCTTCATTAGGACCGTTACACAGGCCATGGGGAGGGGTCCAGACTGGTGATTAGGTCACTGCTTCCCAACATGATGAGTGAATCCATTCAGACCTCTAGCATGCTACGTTTTATTACAAACAACCCTCACACGCCCTACACTCTTTGAACTCAGATGCCCTGTGGAGGTGCCTTGGGCCAACTTTACGATGCTCTCCAAAGGAGCTGCTCCAAACAAAGGAAGGGGGTACAAGATTGGTCTGAAGTCATAAAGTTCCTTAGTCTTCTAAAATTTGCTGTTACTTGGTCATGATCTCTTCTAAATGCCTTACTTCTTTGCCATGCACTTGTACATGTTTACACTCATGTGAATGACATGTTCCAGGGAGTATGGCGTAGATACAGTCAGTTAAAACAGATCTGACCTTTGCTGTGGGGCTGAGATGTGCTTGCTGTGGTCCTGTGTTATACATGTTCTGCAACTGGCAGGAGACAGACAGCAGTATGATGCGTGTGCAAGGCTCTTGTTTTGTTAAGATTATAACCTCCCTTTTGTGGTGTGTCTTTGTTTTTGCTTGCTTAGTGTTACAACAATAACATTTTTTATTTGTAGCTTATTTATTTACTTACATTCCAACTTTCAATGTTCATCAAATCATTAAATGATTAGGCCTACAGTACCCGGTAGCCTGCTGCCACCTGAGCCCGCTGCTCAGTATGAGTCATGATGGGATCTCCTCAGGATTCTCCAGCAGGGGAAACGTTTCGTACCTCCCCCTCTCCCCCTCCGCCTGCCTGCCTGCTGGTCCCAGTAGCGCTGCGCCGGACAAAAGGTTCGCAGGCGGCGCGCAGAGAACCGGCACACGGCAGCTCTCCGGCCCAGCAGGTAACACAAGCCGGCGTCTTCACACAGTTTTACTCGTGAAACCGTCAAAACGTTATACTGAGACTCTGTTCGCCTGCTTAAAACATCCCGTTTAATTCAGGAATACCGCGGTAAAAAAAAAAACTCTGCTCGGTACGCACGACTTTTTAACTGTAGTTTTACAGGTGAGTTCAACTCCGTACCTGCGTCTGGCTGCAGTCTTACAGGCAGTGGCTGAGTTGGACAACTTCACCCACTTATCAGGTGGAAAGAGATAACAGGTTGCTTTATACAGTTTGTGTACATGAAGAAACAGATACCGTTTCCTCTCAGTTACTTAAACACGAAAGCTTTTTGTTGCAAATTTATACAAGTGTGACAAATGCAAACCTGAGTAGACTAAAAATATTTGTGTCGTTACCTACAGATAGTATGATATACACAGTTGATATCAGGCTGTATGAATTAATGACCCTGCACGTATTCTAGAGTGGATTGCACTGTTTTCTGCAGCAGAAGACTTGTTGTACCACAAGTGTTTTCAATTTAACGAATCCTCCCCTCTTTTTGTCCATGTTTGTAGAGCTGCAGGACATCAATGACTGTTTAGATCAGCTGAATGTATGTGTGTGCTTGTGAGTGTGTGAAAGCAGAGGAAGGAATCCCCAATCCATCCCTCACTGCTGTGGGAAACACCACCTTGCTTTGACTTCTCAGCTTGCTATTTTTTTTGCAGCCTTGGCCTGCCAAATGTATCTAGTACAGTGATGGTGCGGGTCACTTTCATGGACTGAACTGCATATTCACTTCTCAGGAGTTACAAATTAAGTTTAATGACAGAAGACCTTAAGGGCAGACTGGGGCTAGTTGTCCTCCGGGGAAGTTGTTGCAGGAACGTCAGCTCTAAAAGTTAAAGGTTCAGAGACAAAAATGTCAATTATTCAATACTCTTCTTTTTCTCTGCTTCATATACATTTTGTGGTTTAGACTCCTGTGTAAAATATCATCCAGCCTTTAGATCAGAATGCTCCTGGAAGCTCCAGAGCAAAAAGCACTTTATTACAGAGCTTTTTAAGGTTTCTGTGATCAAACACCATTGCTTTACATTTGGTTTTTACCGTGCCAACGAGCTCAAGAAATGTGTTGTGTAATGATGTAATTTTTGTTGTCTTATACAGGGTAAATGATTCTGAGAAGTTAATGTTAAGTAGCTGTTTAGAGAAGCTAAACCATGAATATGTGTTTGCTTTCCAAATTATTCCATGCATAGATCAATTCAGCCACATGTCCACAATGGCCCAACATTTTCTAAGGGCAAGGTTTCAGCTTTTTAATGTGCTTTGATGTTATGTATTACAAAAGTCATGGTAAATATAACAAAATAATTTAAAAAAATATGGCAAAATGTGTAAACATGTCCACAGTTTCCTCTTTTAAGGAGGAGATACACTGAGTTCTGTAACAAACACTTGGATCATGATTATCAACTCAAGGGCAGTTGGAGTCTGATACTGGGATGTGTGTCTAATTGCAGAGATGACCTAGAGGCTATACACCATGCCTTGCCATAGGAGAATATGCCTAGCCTCACTGACATTATAATAGAGCTGTCCAGACACATTTTTGCAAAAAGAGTAATGTGTTTTGGAATTTTTCTCAAGTTCAGAGGAGAACAGTGCGGTGCAGCAGGGGACTAGTCTCAAATCTGAGGCTTTGATTTTCTCTTTTACAAATATACCAACATCATTTTATTTGTTCTTGTTCATCTTTGATTTATGCTTTCTGATTTTCCTTAAAACGGAGCTGCTCACTTTTTAGTTTGGATCCCAGTCTCTTACAAACACATCATTTACACCAAGAATCCATAAACATGCACTTTGGTGTGAACTCCACAAATGCTTTTTCCAAAAAAACCCCAGCTGCTATAGCATTATGAAGTCTCTGCATTCAGCAGTTAGAGGGTTGATTTCACCACAAGATTGTTATGGCAAATGTTTTACGGAGGTAATCATGGACATGATAGAAATGTAGAACATGGCCAGATTCCATGTTTCATCATGACGGCCTGTTTAATGATTTAAAGACTGCAGCTGATGTTAATGAGGAGTGCATAGACTTAGAGTTAGGGCAGCTACACGGCTGTAAAAATGGTACTCTCATGAGCTCAACTATGAATCCAGATGTCTGTCTGCTTTCATTTTGACAAATAAGCTTTTGTCTGCCTCTGTCTCCCTCTCCTCTGTCTTGCAGAGTAGAGATGAGTCACATGGGCAGAATGTACCAGAATTCCTGAAGAAAAACTAAAGTGCTGGACAATACCAATCTCCTTTGATTGCTGTATGTACACCTAGTGCCATGGCCTGCCTCATAAGAGCTGAAGTAGCACTGCTGAGGTGTACATTGCTTATTCTCTACCTGAGCACCTGCTCGTGTCAGCATGACTGCACCAGCGTCAACTGTCCCCTGCTGGATAACTGTATTGAAGAAGTGCTGGAGAGTGGTTCCTGTTGTGCTTCATGCTTACAAAAAGGATGCACATGCGAGGGTTACCAATACTATGATTGCATCAATGCTGGATTCAAGAATGGCAAAGTGCCTGAGGGAAACTCTTACTTTGTGGATTACGGCAGCACAGAGTGCTCCTGCCCCATGGGAGGGGGCCGGATCAGCTGCAACTTCATCAGCTGTCCTGACGTGCCGCCAAACTGCATTGAAGTTTCAGAGCCCGCAGATGGATGCATGCAGTGTGAACGGGTCGGATGCGTCCATGGTGGGCAAAAGTATGAGGCCGGACACTCCTTCCATATTGATCCCTGCCGGGTCTGCCACTGCCCCAATGAAGGAGGGAAGCTGATGTGTTACCCCGTACCTAACTGTGATCTGAAGGAAGCCCAAAAACCCATGTTAGCTGCATCCACAGATGAGGAGACAGCCAGCAGACGTGATAGTTACCCCTTTGACCAACAAGGCCATACAGATCAGTTCTCCACACTGTACCGCTTACCTTCTAACAGGAATGTTCCTCTCTTCAAATCATTGCCATTGGATAAGGGGGAGTCAGAAGACTATGATTATGGTCCTACAGACTTTCCAGAAAACTACCATCAATCTCTGATCATCCCTACTCTGTCCTCCCCCTCCAGCATGGTCTTATCTGTATCTCGAGACTCTGACAGACCTGACAGAAACTCTGCCCCTCAGACCTCTGACAGAAGAAGCAAGCTGGAACTGACAGAGCAATATGGAGTTCATGACCATACTGAAGATAAAGAGGAAGTGACAGAAAATCCCTTGAGAGCAGAGCAGAGTTCTGTCAGGCCACAGATGCGTGAGAACGTGAATACTTCATGGCTGCCCTCACAGGGTTTCACAAGTGCACAAAGCCTTTTGTATACTGATCAGAGTCCACGGACAGATTTGGAAGAACCATTGCAAGCACACAGGAATTTGGGCAGTGGCATGTTTCCATTACACCAAGGTTTAGGAAGTGAACAATACCCTGAGTTCTCGCATATGATTTCAAAGGGTGCAGCACATAACTCTGTAACTAAGAAACATCACCAAAATGCATCAGGTCATGTGATACCAAGAGGTTCAAACAGTTGGATCAATATTAGTCAGTTCATGAGAACAGAGAGTCAAACGGATCTGCAGAGGCAATTAGAGGGAGTGAATTCAAATGGTCATAAAGAATTACAGGGAACAGCCGCACCAGACGGTGAGGAAGGGGTGGATGCAGAGAATTTGGAAGAGAAGGAGGAAGAAACTGTAACCTTTCAGAGTGTAACTGAGCCTGAAAGAAAGACTGTGCTCTACAAGATAAAGTCAGAACAACAGGAGAGAAGCCATGGGGAGTCAGAGAGCAGCAGTCCAACTAGCAGCTATGAAAAGACCATACCCGAGCCCAGCACCAGCTCCCCACAGGGGCCTGAGAGCCACACAACTGCCACCACCCAGCTGCCAGTAATGGCCAAGCTGGATGAGAGTCAGCCCAACAGAAAGCCAGGTCAGATGCTGTTTCACTTTCACACTGAGGACAGAAAAGAGGTGAAGGGAAAGGAGAAAGTGCGAGAGGAGGAGAGGAAAGGTCAACCTGTTTCTCTCACCAGACCTGATGGAGGTAAGTCAAAAGATGCTGTTCATGTCTTTTTTTTTTTTTTAGGGAACAGATTTTAGAATGTGGGCTAATCCATATAATTCCCTAAAATTAATTGTTTATAGATTTATTCATGCTCCATGGATTTGTGTGTAAAAAAAAAAAAATAAATAAATTTGCAAGACAATGCCAGAAATTTGGACAAAACCAAACCAGAACAAAATAAAAATATCAGAAAATAGTTTTTATGCTTGGCTGAGTTGTAAAAACTAGAATATCAAAAAAGAGAAGATTTAGGCAGATGGAAACAGATTTTTCAGACATACACTGCTGGACCTGCTTCTACATCTGCAACATTAGAGCATCAGAAGAAATGTTAATATTTTTGAAGATACATATTGACATTGGCCTCAATAATCCAGTCTCACTTGTTTTTTTTTGTTTGTTTTTTTTAGAATCAGTATTCCATCATTCTGCTTGTGTACACACTTGTTTTATGGCACTGCCTATCTATCACAGTAATGGTGTGACTGTCTTAAGTGGTATGCACCAAACAGTGATGTTTCATAGGGCCTTGTCACCTTCCCCTGGAAATGTTTCCATAATGGTAGGTTATGGGCAAAGACACAGCCAGAAAGAGATGCAAAATGAGCACAAGGACTTGTGAAACAACCTCAGAGACAAAAACAAAAAAAAAAAAAATACAAACATAACCACATGGTGACACAAAGCAGCTACAAAGAGAAGCAAAGTAACTAAAAAGAAATGAAAAAACAACCAAAAAGAGTCACAAAACAAATCACCACAAATACACAAGGATGTAAAACTATGAAAATGCGAAGCAAAATTGCCACAAAGACACAAAACAACAAAATATAGGTATAAAGCAACCACAGAAATGCAAAATGGTTCAAAAGAGATACAAAACTCTTGTTCAGTGTGGGGGTGCTGCTCCTCTGTAAGAAGGTGGGGGCCTTTTACATGTCTGTGCTGGGGGGCCCAGTGTTTCATAATCTGTCCATGGATCTTTCAAATGTTTAGCTATACAATGTTGTCTTCACAGCATAATCCTACCTTTTTCGGGGGGTGACTGTGGTTCAGCGGGTAGAGCAGTTATCTCCCAACCGGAGGGTTGGAGGTTCGAATCATGGTGCATGCATGTCCACATGTCGAAGTGTCCTTGGGCAAGACACTGAACCATCAAGTTGCCCCCGATGGTTAGAGCCATTGGTGTGAATTGGCGCCACAGATGGCTGCCCCCGTTGGTGTGAATTGGTGCCACAGATGGCTGCCTCCGTCCTGTACCGAAAACAAATTCCTTGTGTGTAACATACAAGGCCAAATCCATATCCTTATCCTTCTGTCCTATTCTAAATACTAAGCCAGGCCTCATGTCATGAACATATGGTATTGCAGACACTCTCCCGTCCCCAGGAATCTGACTTGGAACATAAATAGTGAACCAAGGGTCTGTCTGGAGCAGGGAGTTTTTAACTCTAACCGGTTCTTTTATCTGAAGGCCCCAAGAAGTAACACTCAGGAAACAGGAATCAGCTTTACGTAGATTTATTTTCTTCTGGATAATGCAGAGTTATTACAGCGCTGGGCTCTGAGAGATGACAAGTCTCCAGAGTCAAACATGCCTCCCAAGGTGAGGATCCCTTCACAGCAGTCCCAAACCAGTCACCACCATCACTCACCCTCGCTACTGTTTTACTTATGTTGCCTCAGCTCTCCAGCAGGAGATTAACGGGCAGCCTTTAGAGTCTAGATCCAGTAATAAGTTCTGGCCTCACCCTTCAATTGGTTGTATTTTAGAGATGCATGTTAGATTGAAAAGGATATACAAACCATGTATTATATTTTTAGTATTGTGACATCTGTGGTGTGCTAGGCACCATGTTGTCTGTTCCTTGGAATTGCAGAGGTATCATTTTATAATCTTTACAGTCATACAGGGGTGATCACTGCTTGTGTTAAATAGCAATTCCTTGTATTCACTTCTGCGAAAGTGCATACATACAGCACATCTATTGCTGCATATTTTCTGCATCAAAGATGTATCAGAAACAGATTCTTTAAATCAGCAAATGTTATAGCTCTCATGAATTGGCTACACAGTAGCCAATCACTGTGTTGAATCAGTGTGTCATATAAACTAATAGAAGAGCAAAGCATAAAGGACATTTATGTAGCTGAAAACATTATGGACTATGATTTACACAGTTGGGCTAAAAGGAAGAATGGGTGATTTATATGGGGTAGCTGAGTTATTTGATCTATTGCTGATGCATATGAATGGATTTTTAAAAGGTGTTTGCAGCATGTGACCATAACAGATCCAGATGTTTTTGCCCAGGAAAGCTTCAATAGACAGAGCTGCAACATACACACACAGACCACTTTATTAGGTACACCTGTACAATTGTATGCAATTCAATGCAACACTTCCACCTTAACATCTGTGTTTATGAGCTCAAAATGTTTTAGTTCTTGGTGAAATTTCCATTAATGTATGCATTGTCCGGGTTGCAAGCGAGAGCAGACGTCTTTACTGCTCCTCTTGTCTGTTCTACACTTCACGTCTTTGAACATACTCTACAACTACTAAAATGCCTCAAAGAGGGAAAAGAGCTAATAAATCAGAAGCGAATGAGGATATGGAGGCAGAAGAAGTGTATCACAGAGCGGCGCAAGTAATGGACATTGTGGATCAGCAGAAACAGATGTACATCGCGCTGATGAACCAACAGCAGGAAAACTTCAAAGGCTTTGTGCAACTAATTATGGAGACAAACAACAAGAGATTAGACGACATGACCAGAGAAATACAGGAGATAAAAACGAGTTTGCAGTTTACCCAGCGAGAGGTGGATGTGATTAAAGCTTCCATGGGTGAACAGAAAACACAAACCAAGGAAACGAGGGATGACGTCTACAAAACGTGTGAGAGTTTAATAAATATAACGGACAAAATGGAGTATCTGGAAGCACAGTCCAAGCGAAAAAACTTGATCTTTGAGGGAATCAAGGAGACAACTGGAGAAAGCTGGTCGGAAGCGGAATGTAAAGTGAAGGAGATTCTGAAGAATAATCTGCAAATTCATCAAGAAATTGAGATGGAGTGGGCTCACAGAGTCGGGAAACCTTCGGATCGTGGTCCGAGGGCGGTGATGGTAAAGTTGATGAAAGAGAAAGATAAGGCACACATATTGCAACAAGCAAAGAAGCTTAAAGGATCTAACATTTATATAAATGAAGATTACACCGAGTCTGTGAGGAAGAGAAGAAGGGAGTTGATGCCGAAGTTAAGGGAGGCCAGGGCGAGGGGAGACATCGCGTTCCTGAGGTATGATCAACTAGTGACCAGACCTCGGAACCAGGA